TTGTTTTATAGTGTGAAATGTCTTGTTTGTTTTTACTGAAATGAAAAGAATAAATTAATTGAACTGAATTGAATTGAAATTTTAGTCTTAACATATTGTTCGATACCTTGGTACTTACTGAGGAAGGAATTTAAAAAAGCTGGAAGCCGCTTTCGGATYTACTTATACACACCATGTTTCTAACAAGTTGAACAATAACCTAATGCAGATGACTGTTTCTGACTTATGCAGAAAATACAGCATGTTGGGGTTTGTGACGATGGTGGCTGTCACACAGACATAAATCCTGGTCCTAATACTTGCACTTCCACCCTTGTGTCCTTCAAATGCACCTTCCTGCTAAAGGGTGTTCCAATTCTGCAGAGTGGTATTTTGTTCGGCCACCTTTGCACCCTCTCTTTCTGTGTGCTTAATGTTCCTTGCTTTCTGTTTCTTTTGTGTACATACTGTCTCRTTTACAGACTTTTTGAATAGCAGATCAATGATAGCAGCGCTCTGACATAAATATTTCATTGACTGTCAGCCGTGCATCTTCTGACCTGCTTTGCATGTGACTTTCCCCTCTTAGTGCAGACAGTCTGTCACAGTAAATCAAGCAGTGAAGCATAGTTAATCTCCCATCTCTTTCCAGTTTTTAGGAATCGGCATCATCACAGCTACTGTAATTGTGCAGGAGTTTGAAAAGCAAATCTCAAATGACAACAATACGTTTGTTACAAAAAAAATGGAAAACGTAGAAACCTTCATTGTTATTTAATACAGGATTTTAGCTGCACAACATTTAGTCCAAAATAAAAGGTGGTATGCTGTGTCACACCAGAACAGAGCTTTTTCTATCAAAACAACAGACAAGATAAAAACAACCCTCTACACTTTTGCATGACATGTATGTTTAGTTTGTTTCTGTTTTCTCAACAGTGCAGTTTCCATGTTTTACTCAAATCTATCATGTATACTGAGAATAGCTAGAGCTTGTGTATACCAACGATGCTGAGGCTGCAGATATGTGTCTACTATAAGATGAGCAAACTTTTGGATTCCACACACTGATCAGGTGCACTGATACATTCACAGCCTCTGCGCCTTCARAACACAAACATTCGATTGAGAAAACAGCAAAAAAATAAATAAATAAAGGATTGTTGTGCAAAAATTGACGTATTTGTTAATGTGGCAGCTTTTCACACAAGTTAATTTAGAAACCTTAATAAAACTGTAAAATAATGAATAATTCAAACCTCACCCTTGGTTGGCAAGCCAGTGTAGCCTGCTGCATGGAGGAAGACTTTTGCCCTTTTTGCCATACACACATCTCTGTGACCGATGTCACTACTAACTATTGATCATTAATTGATAGAAAATCATTTCACAAATGACTGGACTGTCCCTCTAAGTTCAACATTTTAACTTTTATTACAAAACTCAGAAACAAAGCCAAAATATCTTGTTAATTTGAATTTGACTTGTAACGTTTTGGCACATTATGTTTGTATTTTTACATGTAAATAATAAGGCTGAGATGACAGAAACAATGTGCATGGATTACTTGGTCTCCTTGTGGTCAGCTGCTGTTGGAAGCTGATGGTTGTTGTGACACTTGGAAAAACTGTTGCTTCAAGTGGCTTAAAGACTATKCTCCGGCTCTCCACACGGAAACTTTTCTTGGAATCACCAAACTGTTTGACAAAAGACGATTTGTCAGTTGATCGCTAAATCCATTTAACCCTGAGCCAGACTTCATTCTCAGGTGTGGCAATACCCCCATTTAATGCTGCTTTATGACCAGATGAGCTTTGGCTAAACTCAGACGTGGGGTCTTCGATGCATGCCATCTTGTAGAAAACYACCATTTTCCTTATATTGACTCGCTATTCATGATTGAAATCCACCAGAACTTCTCCAAACTTTTCACATACTGTATACATCCATTTTCTTCACATGCTTTTTTTCTTTTGCTCAAGTTGGAGCTGGTGACAATCTCCACAGCTCTGTATGCAAAAGTCAGGATACAGCCTGGATGTGTCACAAGTCAATGAAAMGGACAAACAGCCACTTACGCTCTCAACCTCTGCACTTATAAAAGAACCCTGCAAGAACAAGATAATCAGTACCCCTTTTGTGACCAGTGAAAGATCGACTTATTATACTGGTTTGAYACAGTTATGTGTGAAATGCCGTGGTGATTCATTGAACGAGAAATGTTGCCCTAGACTGCGCGTTCCCATTAAGTGCTTGGATTTAGAGGTTTGGTGAGGTTAAGGTTCTTACCAATCTTAAAGCCGTGCAGTTCGATTCTGTTTCACCTCACACAAGCAGAGTCGGCTGAAAAGCACAGTGTCTGGAGGACATTCAGTTGTAGTGTTGTCGTGTTTTTTCCGACACAGTTGGAAGAAACAAAACCTGTTGTTTTAATTGTCTTGAACCAAAATTTTACATTTAYTTCAACTTTCCAGTTTATTGAAACAAGCAGGAATCTTTCCATCTTTGTAGATTTGAGATTAACAGTGCTTTAAGGTCAAAGTTAATCCTGTATTTTAAAATATGGCCCCATTTGTTGAAGTAATGAGCAGCTCAAAATTGTGAAAATTCCTTTTTATTTTTTTATTTGATTTATTTATTTTTTTATTTTTTTGTCAAGACAGTTTTGTCCTTATATGGAACTGTGGACAAGGACTGCATTTAATCCACCACTAATCTGACCTCCCATAACTTATAAGACTCTTACTGTGATCAGACCACTAAAGCTTGGATTTTAACGCTATTGACAGTCATCGCAGTGCAGCCGAGGTAAAATGCCCTCAAACCTGCTGTGTTTGCTGAAAAGGTTCCTCCAGTAATCTTACTGGCCTGATTAAGTGTAGTTTAAACAATTGGAATGCTCTCCTTGAAACACCTCTGCTAAGCTCCCCAAAATAAGCTGTTTGTTTGACTTCAATATATATTTAGGAGCTTTTTATCTGTCACGTTAGTGGAGCCAAAGAGTTTCCACTCTCAGGGAGTGGGCTGTATTAAGTCAAATCACATTTTTGTTTTTGTGAAGGATGAATCTAGATAGATTTTTTTAAATTGTTCTAAAATTGGTTTTCAAACAGGTGAATTARTTCAGTATTTCCCTAAAAGGATACATTTCCTCTTCAACTGAAAGGGGGCCATATATTTCCTAACAGCACATYGAAGACCCCTATTTCCACAGAAAAGCATGAAAAGGCAAAACAATATCCACAAGAAGATGTTAATCACAATTTAAACCATTTAAAAGTATTCATCCTAATTGCCCAATACAGTTTAAAAATGTATGTCTAATTTATTTTACGCTTTTCTTACATATTTTTAAAATAATGTTTATTTTTCAAATTTGTTGTGAATGATAAGTCTAATTCAATATTTCTACAAAATTAACTGGTATCTTCATTCATACCTCTGCTTATGTACACTTGATCTAGAATTCAGTTTAAAACATTTCAAGAGTGGAAGAATTATTCTGCCTATTACAAGATAMCCTTATAATACGACTTAATAACGCAGACTATCACATAACTGAAGAAAAACATGATTTAATAATCAAACACAAAAAGGCTGATGAGGCAGCAAGTTATTTACAAGATGAACACCCTAATATCGGCGTAGTTGAAGATTTAAAGAGCTCAGAGGGAACACGCAGAGAAAAATACAGGATGACCGACTGATGAACGACAACAAACCAATGGTATAAGTAGACTGGGAGACGTGAGATGAGTGGATGCAGCTCAGACTAATGAACATGCAGGTGTGGATGATAAACTGAGAGCAAGAAATGAGGGAGAATATAC